ATATTAACAGAGGGAACTCTTGATTATTCAGGATGTTGTTGATCCGGTCACTGATGAAATGCTTGCAAAGTTTGTAGTTGATAGTCACTTCAAGTCACAGCCTAAGGGTGCTAACATGGATTCCTTACATGAGCATGAAGAAGTTCTTGCGGCTTCGATGTCTGCTGATGCAGAGGTCATTACCAAATACTGTCAGTAGTTTGACTTTGGATAATTAGTTTGTGGCTTCCATATCTATTATACTTTTAAATTCGGTCTGCAGATACTTCCTCAAGACCTGCTGAAGAAGTACCTCACATATGCCAAGATGAACGTGTTCCCAAGGTTACATGATGCTGATATGGATAAACTGACACATGTTTATGCTGAACTACGGAGAGAATCTTCAGTAATGCTTCATTTCTGCTTACCAATTGACTGCTAGTGATTACTATTCATATCAGCTTTGCTAACATGCTGTGCTCGTTATCTTTATATAGCATGGACAAGGAGTTCCCATTGCTGTAAGGCACATAGAATCAATGATAAGGATGTCCGAAGCCCATGCTAGAATGCATCTCAGGCAGCATATCACGCAAGAGGACGTGGACATGGCAATTCGTGTTCTACTTGATTCATTCATCTCAACCCAGAAATTTGGGGTGCAAAAAGCCCTGCAGAAGGTTATTTTCTTTCCTTTTTTTTTATTTTTGGGATTTACCTCATTTGCACTTTAAACTCTTCTGGATTTTCTCCAGCATAATGTTCCATCCCTGCCTGTTTTGGTGTCTTTAGCATTATTATCCATGATGTTAAATCCACAACGATTGATGCAGACTAACATGCCATAGTAGTTGTGGAAAAACGATTTTATTCTTTTCTGGCCATAGGAATTTGGATTGGACTTGGTGACAATATTCAGCCCTTGGCCTTAATCTAGAAAGTGGACTTTTGCAGAGCTTTAGGAAGTATATGACTTTCAAGAAGGACTACAATGAGTTGCTTCTGTTCCTTCTTCGTGAGCTTGTAAAGAATGCATTGCATTTTGAAAGAATTGTTACTGGATCTACTTCAAACCTCACGCACATTGAAGTCAGAGTAGATGATCTCTCCAACAAGGTAACATTCATGTCCAATAAAGGAGCAGACAATAAGATGTGGTTATTTTCAAACTGGATAGTAATGATTGGTATTCGTGTTTGTTTGCGTTATGCAGGCACAAGAGCATGAAATCTATGATCTTAGACCCTTTTTTAGTAGCACTCACTTTGCAAGAGCCAATTTTGTTCTGGATGAGGAGCGAGGAGTAATCAGGCATCGCCTTGCAAGATGAAGATAGAATTTTCCTAGAGTTTATCAGTGGATGTAACTGTGCAATAATCTTAAACAGTGAAATTAAGACATGAGATATTTAAGTAGGATGGTTCTCCTTTCAATAGTTAATTTTTCAGAATTTGTAAACATATATTTCTTTTTCTTTCTGCTGTTTTATAAACATGTATTTCTTTTTGCCACCAGTATTTGACACCGAGGTTCATACGTCATGAAGACAGACATTGCCACTTTCTTCGTAGCTTCACCCCAAATTTCAGAAGATTGATTCAAAATCATTGTCTTACGTTGGTGCCCATGTAAGGGGCCTAACTGCCCGGTAACAACTGCACATGTAGGAGTGCTAAGCACACTCACGCTTCAGGTGCCTAATACGGATCCTCTTCACAGTTAAGACCTAACAATAAAGCTATACGCAAGTTAAAGTTAAACTCGATCTCACTCGTTTGTATCGAGCACCCTCTTTTCTCTAAATAGAGAATCTAATTTCCTGGGGATGGAATTTCCTTCGCTGTACTTAGTTTTTCTATTTATCTACTCTCTCTAAACTCTCTCCGTATCTAATATCTTAAAAGTTGGACTCCGTCCGTAAAATATCGTACTAACCCGTAGAGCTCATTCGTATCAATGCCAAATGTCACCTTGGCCGAATCAAGCTAGGCATTTGGCTGTGGTATTTACCATCATGTTCTCTATGGCGGTGGCTCCGGTTCGATGCCGGCGATGGGAGGTTATGGCACTGGGACAAGTGGAGGGACCTGAAGACTTGCTTTATGACTCAAGTGGCGGAGGCGTGATATATACAGGGTGTAGCGATGGGTGGATCAAGCGAGTCACGGTGAACGATTCGGCGGCCGACTCGGTGGTCCATGACTGGGTCAACACTGGAGGAAGACCTCTCGGTCTTGCTCTGGGCCTCAATGGTGATATCTTAGTCGGTGATGCATACAAGGTAATTTTCTTCCATTCACATTTAGTTTCATGGTTGAGTAGATACCTTTTTCACATGTATCTGCATGAACTTTCAATATATATATATATATATATATATATAGATAGATATATAAAATTCAAGCGAATGATGCAGGGCTTGGTGAGAGTGACAAGAGAAGGGAAGATTGAGTTGCTGACAGATGAGGTTGAAGGAGTAAAGTTTAAATTAACAGATGGAGTGGATGTTGCAGAAGATGGCACCATTTATTTCACAGACGCTTCCTACAGATACAGTTTAAATAATTTCATGTTCGACTTTCTGGAAGGGAAGCCTCATGGAAGACTCATAAGCTATGATCCATCAACCAACCGCACCACACTTTTGGCTTCCAATCTCCACTTTGCCAATGGAGTTGCAGTCTCACCAGATCAACAATTTGTGGTCTTCTGTGAAACCCCAAGGTGAGATATATATATATATATATATATATATCTCTATCTATCTATTTACACGCACTTCCAATCAAACTTAAAGCCCATTTTCCACATGTGTGTGTGGTTTGAATTAAAAATGATGGCTGAGCGACTGTGCAGGACGAGGTGCAGAAAGTATAATATAAAGGGCTCTAAGAAGGGGAGAATTGAAAATTTTATTGAAGATCTACCTGGTTTCCCCGATAACATTCATTATGATGCACAATCACAACGTTATTGGGTTGCCATGGCCATGGTAATTCTGAATCTAACCCTCCACTTCTTTATAATAATCCAAAAACTCATATTTAAGCGATCACAATCCCTTTCATTAGGATGAAGGCCTATTGATTAAACTGCATTGTTTTACAATTTACTTGTGATATGAATGGCAGCCGTCAAATCTGAGGCATGAAGCAGTGGCAGAGATTATGGAGGCAAGTGGGGGACTTGTTTCTGTGGACTTGGAAGGAAAAGTAATGAGTCATTACAATGATACAGAGTTGATTTTGGTTTCAAGTGGCATTAAGATCGCAAGTTCTATCTATTTTGGCTCTTTGCTTTATCCCTTCATCCTTCGTCTCCATCTCTAGGTTTTCATTATCCACAACCTCAATAAAACTCTTCCTACATGTTTAATAAAAATATTATTTTTTCAAATGTATATTATACATTCTCATCGTTACGCACTAAATTATTCTAAACTAAAAAAATTATAAAAATTAAATTGTTTTGAGTTAAAATTTAGAAATTAAATGGACAAGTGAGGCAAAGTATAAGGATAAAAATTGGATTTTCCCTTTTTAACAAAATAAAAGCACATATTTTTTTGGGCCTACACATAGCATAAAAGAGAGGCTGGAGCCCGAAATGCATGTGAAAACTACTGTGCACTACCGTACGGTACGTCGCTGGAGCCACTGAGCCAGAGATGCTTGCGTACGCGTGCCGATCATAAAGATCGTACGGCCCGATTTTGCACATCTCAAATCCTTGCGGAGCGATTTCTTTCTAATCAAACGGTGTATATTCACCGGTGAGGTCATCTGCGGTCTATCATAAATAATACATTTTACGAGGCCCACGGATATTTTACAATGTATTTTTATACAAACAATGCATTTTTTAAGCATGATAATTTGAACAATGCATTTTGACTTTTAATCTTTTAGAAAAATATAACATTTAACTGCTTTAAACTCAGAACTTTAATTTTGGTCCAAAAAAGAAAACCCGGAAATTTAATGTAAAAATCACGAATAAAAAACTAATTATGAAGTTTTAAGAAAATTAAAGTATACATAACAACAAATCAGCGTCGCGAAGCATGGAATCATAGCTCGGTCACCGGTGCAGAAAGGACCATGACGCATCGTACGGAATTGCAAGGCCCCAAATTGCGTCTCTCTTTGTGTGTCTTGCATCCACCCAGTCGCTTCCATTTCACTCCTCTCTCCCCTCTCTCAAAATCCTTCCTTGCTTTCTCTCCAGTTTGGCGCCTTGGTGACGTTCCTAATGGCCAAAAGATCATTCAAAAGCGAAGAAGAAGAAGATCGCGATACGAAGAAGAAGAAGAAGATAGTGATAAGGGTGGTTTTTGGGGCAAGGACGAAGACAGAGATGGGGGGTGAGAGTGAGGGGTCAATGCTGCGTTGTCAAGCAGACGAATGTGGAGTGGACTTGACAATGGCGAAGAAGTATCACCAGAGGCACAGGGTTTGTGACAGACATTCCAAAGCTTCTGTGGTTCTAGTTTTTGGCATTCGTCAGAGATTCTGTCAACAGTGCAGCAAGTATGTATCTTTAGTTTTTTATTTTTATATATATATATCCATCGTCCTTGCTTTCTTTTCTTGATATTGATGCTGATGATGATGCAGGTTTCATGAAGTGGCACAGTTCGATGGCAGCAAAAGGAGTTGCAGGGAAAGACTGGCAGGTCATAACCAACGTCGAAGAAAAACCTACTCACACGTTCCCTCTGCCTCAACCACTCCCGCTTATTCAAATCATCAGATTCTCCATTCTGGTGGGTTAACATTAACATCCCAACAAGAGTCTTCGATATAATTATAAACGTGAATGTTTTTTATGGTTTCCAATTGCAGATGAGCATGGAACACGTGAGGGTTCGATTTCGTTTTAGTTTGTGTACATATAAATATAGTCCTGTTCACAATTGATTTCAGCTTCCTATGATTGTAGTTAACCTTTAGCCCACAACCTAATCCATCGGGGATGTCTATATTCAGAACTTAAGAAGTGAATGTGCCATTTCATGATTTAAAAGAAGATCCGTAGACAAAAAGCGGAGGGCTTTCTAATTGATCAAGTTAATCTCTGTTTATTACATGGAAAGTCATTCCAAAATTAACACGAGTTTCTATGAAAACGCCATGAACAAAATGAGCTGGAAGCATAAATTAATAATGTCATGAAAGGAGTGACGCCGTTTGTGATCACCTCCTCAATAAATCGTTTCAGAAAATTGCATCATTTTCTGTATTGGATTGGCATTATTCAGGGCCAAGAGTGGATAATTTCACTATGAAAGCTTAGTGTGGAATGTACGAGGGTTCCTTTGTGCAGCAGATAAGCAGAAATATATTGTATCAGTCTAAAGCATTCAACACTGCATCAACAACCTCTTGGGTGGTGCTTTTCCCTCCGAGGTCTTTAGTCCGGTGTGTGCCCTCAAGAATGACTCGTTTCACAGCAGTTTCCAATCGGTCGGCAAAAGCAGGAAACTGAAGATGTCTGAGCATCATGGCTGATGAGAGAAGCAGTGCTACTGGGTTTGCTGTCTTCTGTTCCAATAATTTCTCATTACCGACATTTCCCGCGGAAGCACCTTGCTCAAACACAGCATGATCAGCCCCCACATTTCCTGCAACGATAACACCCATTCTTAGTGACTTTTATGCAATAATCTTCAGTTTAGTATACAGAACGAAATTATATTGAAGCAAAAGTAATTCTATATAGTAAATAGACACTTATCTCCCTAAATAATAATAATAATAATGAGATAAATAATAATTATACCAGTATAATAAATATTATAAATCTTGTTCATGTGCAGCGGAAAAGCAATTCCTTTCCACATGGGCGAAACAAACAGGTTAATTGTAGAATTTAATATTTTTTAAGCAACCACTTCTATGTTAAGGCAATTGCCACCTCACTCCAGTTCATCATCCAATTTGTTGTCCTCAATAAACCCATCTCCGTACAAACCTAGCATTGGCACCACCAGTCCAACACAACTATTACCACCTTGATATTGCTGCTATTACAACCACGAGCAATTCCGTTATGTCCACATTGACAATTGTCTTCACGACTGCTTAGCGCATTTTGACATGCAAACAAAGTTCAAACTTGATTCTCATACTATCAAAAGGTGGGAACTAATCGGACATTTTGAAGACATGGTATAACTGAGGGAACAGCATCCAATAAGCTAAGGAATGAAATTTTGTAAATAATAAAAACCATACCTCCTGGCATTACTCCAGTACCTCCAGCAATACCTGCTGCCGTATTTGCAACTAGATTCCCATAGAGATTTGGGGTTACCTAGCAAGTTGAAGCAGGATTCATGAACTTCAGAACGTATTCAGTTGGCAGCAAAAACAGAGATAAATGAGTGCCAGAAGGAAAGTCAGTGAATTGCAACTTGCAAGATAGAATCATCAAAAACATATCAAATGATTCTCATCCGTGACAATAGATAAAGCAGGGCAAACTTCATGCTTCCCAATAATATTAATATCATATCCATAGGGTCCAAGCTCCTTCATTATTATAAGTCATATTTATCCTTCCCCAAAGGCCAAGAGTTGATAAATAATTAATCTTAATAGTCTTACTATTTCCACTTCCGTTAATACTTGTCTTTCATATTCTTTTGAATTTCAGTCACTACCGCTCATTTCTCAGGCCACTTTTCCACTAACAGGTACTTTAGAAGAAACGCCAAACCTATGGCTCCAACGTCCCAAATGAAAATGAATATCAGATGTCAATCAATCAAAGAGCAAGCTAAAAGACAAAAATTACATAGATCCAAGTTTGTAAACAAACAACACAACTGTAGATTCACATACCATGACATCAAACTGCTCAGGCTTTGAAACAAGCTGCATGCAGCAGTTATCCACAATAATTTCATTATACTTGATTCCAGGATACTTTGTAGCAACCTCTCGACAAGATTCCAAGAATAGACCATCTGCTAGCTTCATAATATTTGCTTTGTGCACAGCAGTCACTTTCTTTCTGTTGTTTAGATAAGCATACTCAAAAGCATATTTAGCTATACGCTCTGAGCAGAACTTTGTGATTACCTAGCAGAAGACTAGTATGAGGTCCCAACCAACTTCATGATATACACAAAAAATCCACAATCATAGGCGAAAATCAGTCAATTACTTAACCAAAATATGAGCAGACCATTATAAAGTATAAATCGGAACATATCTGGATGGCATTTGCTATATAGATAGAACACTGAACACTCAGATAAGAACTTGGAAACAAAAATTTATCGCATTATCAACCAAAGGTCAGTTGATAAACTTATTAAACATCTTTTTAAACCAATTTTACCAGACATATTCTGGAGAAGATTGGCGAAAACCATAAGAATACAAATAAAAGCTGCCATGCGAAGCAGCACTTATTTATAACCTAATTTAAATATTTATCCATTTCAGTCAGCAGTTCAACTAAGACAGGGTCTCCTTATCAAAGGATATCATCATGAACATGGTCACCAAAATCCTGACAAATAAAAACAACCAGTCTGAAGAACTAGAAATATTTTAGATAAATATCCATGTTGAATCAACTTCATGGATTACTTATTAGCATCTCTTTAAGTTATCCACTATCCATGAATCACAGTTTAAAACAGAACCATCCACCAAGTTCATGAACAATTAGATGCAATTCCCTATCAGTTCTTAAATATCATCTTATCTTCTTCTCTTACTAACATATATTCGTATGTAATAATTTTAAGGTTAATTTTAAGGTTGTGGAATTAATGATTAAAAAAAAAGTGCGTTGGATTAGTAGTCGGTACCTGCCTACAAGTGTAAATAAAAGCAATTCAATCAATAATTTTCAGCTAGTCTAAACAGAACACATTAGAATGGGAAAGCTATTAGTTCAACAAACAGTACCCTACGTCTTGACACCATTGAATCCATCAAAAGAAAATGAATCCCATTGATAGCAGAGCTACCAGAGAGCAAAACGTTAGTTGATCATCAATTACTCTCCATTCAAAAAGTTCAGCATAGAATAACAACCTAGTTTATCACATACCTTAAGGCTTTCAACGACTCCAGGAACGACCTCATGTTCCAGGCCAGAATACTCTCCCTCCGTATTCTCCCTAATCACGACAATATCAACATTCTCGTGCCTCGTCACCAAACCAGGAAGATTAAAGCAATTCACGAGCGAAGCATACAGATCAAGCTCTTTCCTAAGCTGCACGTTCAGCGAGCTAACACCACCGCCCATGGGTGTAGCCAATCCACCCTTCAAGCAAACCTTGTTCTTCTTTATCGAATCGATCACCTCCGGCGGCACTCTCGGCATATCACCGTGTACTTCATACTTCTCGAAGTAAACCGGCGCGTGCATCGCCTCCATCACTTGCTCAACAGCGCCTGTAACGAGAGGTCCAATTCCATCGCCGGGAATGAGGGTCACGGCGCGTGGAGCCCCATCCCCGGGTCGGGGCATGTAAGTGACGGATCGGGAGGGAATAAATCGGGAGCATGAAGAGATGATGTTGGGAGTGTCGGACGATTGTGATGCCGCGAGGAGCTGTTTAAGAAGTAACGCTGATCTTCTCGCCATTGGTGGAGCAGTTATCGGGACGCGTGCTAGGGTTTTGAAGATTCAGATTTGCGAGCAAGAAGACCGAGAAGCCATAGAAAAAGTTTACAGAAATACCGGTGAGAGCCGCGAGCGAAATTTTAGATTCTTGGAAAGGTAAAGGGATATTTCACCGCGTTGAAGCTGCATTTCCAATTTTCCATGTTCATTGCGCCAGTTTTATTTTTTAAAAAAACAAAATTCCTTTTTTCTTTTTGGGGTCAACTTAATGGCAAAATTCATGGGCCCATTTTCTTTTTTTTTTTTGAATTAGCAACGGCAAGCAAAGCTTGAAACAAACAAAAGACTAGGGGGGATTAGCCCATATCACGTGCACATTGGGCCGCACAAACGGAAATAACAGAGTCATAAAAAGTTGGTGTCGTGTCCGCATCATGAGCATTTTTTGCCAGGAGGTCAGCACATGTCAATGCTTCTCTGGGTGAGTGATGCAGTTCAAATGTCCAGATCTCAGCTATAGTTAGGCGAATTTCCTGGATAATGTTCCAAAGGGGGTGGCCTTGATTACCATCTCTAAAAATCAGATTAATGGCTTCAAGAGAGTCGGAGAACATGGAGACTTTCTGAAATTCCTTCATCTTACAGGTTTGAAGTCCAGTGAGAATGGCAAGTAGTTCAGCTTCAGTGGGCGAGACAAAGCCCAAACGCTGTTTGAATCCTAGCACCCATAAGCCTTCTGAGTTCCGAATGATACCTCCACATGCTCCGTGTTGAATATTGGTGACAGAAGCGTCTACGTCGATCCTGATGAAGTCACGCTGTGGGGGGGTCCATCTTGCGGTATCTCTATTTGAAATTTGGAGGATCGTGTTGGTAAAGTTCCGATGATCTCTATCCTCCAACAATTTATGAAGATAGATATTCCTGATAGTTGAGGGGTGGCATACTTTCCCTTCAAACGCTTTCCTGCATCTTGAAGTCCATAGTAACCAACAGATGGTACAGAAGACTTGTTGCCATGACCATTTTCTGAAGATGTGTTCCAGCTTTGTTTCTGAGGTTCCAATCCATCCACACCTGCAAGTTACCAGCAAAAAAATCACGAGAAACGTTAGTTTTAATAATTCCTCTCCAGACACTCTTGGCAATCTCACAGTCTCTCAGGATATGAATAGTGTTTTCCTCACAATCACACATATAGGGACAAGAACTATCAGAAGTGAGTTTCCTTTGAGCTCTCAAGTAGTTCGTAGGGAGTCTATCATGGATAGCCTGCCAGAGGAAGTATTTTAATTTCTCTGGAACTGGACATTTCCACATCTTCTTCCAAGTGGAACAGTAGTTCGATTCAGGACTGTGCTTAATAAACTGATAAGCTGTTTTGACTGACAAGTTTCCATCATTGGATGGTCGCCAACAATATAGGTCTTCAGAGAGCTGTCTATTAATTCTGGTGGAGACAATTTTGTTTACAATTGCCTGAGGGAGGACTCTATTGCAGGCAGCAATGTCCCATTCTCCATTGGGGAGAAGAAAATCATTGACAGAGGCTTGGGTGTCCAGATTGTTGGTGGTAGGATCTATATAACAAATGAGAGGATTGTTTAAAGGAGACCACTTATCCCACCAGAATCTAGTATTTAAACCATTCCCAATTTTCCTTCCCACTCCTTCAAGAAATTGATCCCACATTTTAACAATGCTGCGCCAGGTAAGAGAGGCAGATTTCTTATTTTGAATCTGGGAAAAACCATTGAAATTGCAGCCGTATTTGGCTCTTAAACACTGAACCCAGAGCATATGAGGTTTCGTGAGAAGCTGCCAATAGAGCTTGAGGATGAAAGCTTGGTTTTGCAAATGGAGGTCCTTGATATTAAGTCCTCCTTTGTCTTTTTGCTGCAAAACGTTCTCCCAAGCGACCAGGTGAATTTTGCGTGAACCTGTGTGTTCATTCCATAGGAATTTCCTGCTAAGTTTCGAGATCTCTTCAGTAATCCCTTTTGGTAGAAGCATGGTCTGCATTAAGTGTATAGGGATAGAGTTCAACACAGATTTTACTAGAATAGTTCTCCCTGCAAGATTTAGAAAATTCCCTTTCCAAGCCGTAAGCTTCTTTTGTAGTTTTAGAACCAGAGGGGTGAAGATATTCTTGGTGACCCTGCCATGAATAAGAGGCACGCCAAGATATTTTCCCAGGTCGACAGTTAGACCAACCCCCAAGTGTTGACTAATTTCCACGGCACGGTTATGGTTGATGTGAGGAGAGCAAAAGATTTTTGACTTTGACAGGTTAACCCTGTGACCTGAAGCTATGCAGAATTCAGACATGATGCTTTTTATAAGATCAACTTGGTCCAAAGAAGCTTCTGAGAAAAGGAAGAGATCGTCAGCGAAAAAAAGGTGAGATAGGCTCGGTCCCCTAGCCTTGAAGAGAAGAGGTTTCCACCTTTTATCTGCCACAAGAGAGGAAATGAGTTGACTGAGCCTTTCCATACAAAGCACGAAGATATAGGGACTCAAAGGGTCACCCTGTCTGACACCTCTTGTTGGGAAAAAGGTTTGAGTCTCATCACCATTCCAAAGCACTTTGAGGGTGGCAGAAGTGATAGAGCACATGATGAGGTTGATGAACTTGTCACTGAAATTTAAGCTTTTGAGTGTTTCTCTAATAAAATCCCAATCCAGGCGGTCAAACGCCTTTTCCAGATCCACTTTAATGGCAATGAACCCTTTCTTTGTTTTCCTTGTTCTCATAGTATGCAAAGCTTCTTGGGCCAATATAACATTGTCACAACTCTGTCTTCCCATGATGAAACTGCTTTGATGAGGATCAATGATATGGTCAAGGTGACTCTTCAATCTATTTGCAAGGATCTTAGTGAGGATTTTGAGACTCACGTTGCAAAGGGAGATTGGTCGAAACTCCTTCAGACAAGTGGGATGGTCAACTTTAGGGAGGAGGATAATGTTGGCTTGATTGTACTCAGCCATTTTCCTTGGGTGGTCAAAAGTTTCCTTGATCAGTCTACAAATTTTATCACCAACAAGGTTCCATTGGCTTTGGAAGAAATGAGGTTGCAAACCATCTGGGCCAGGAGATTTAAAGGCACCCATTGAAAAGGCAGCATTTTTTATTTCTAGATCTAAAATTCCGCTTTCAATCGCTTGTATGTCTTGAACCTGGAGAGAAGGGAATTTTGCAAAGAAATCAGCTTGATAAGGACGGGGTTCCTTGGTGTAGAGCTTTTTGAAGAAGTCAAAGGCCATCTGCTTTAGACTATTATGGTCACTTATCCATACACCTTGTTCATTCAAAAGGGAGTCGATTCTCTCTTTCTTAGGTCTAATGATGGTGGATGAGTGAAAGAATCTCGTATTCTGATCCCCAAATTGAAGCCATTTCTGTCGAGATTTTTGCCACCATAAAAGTTCCTCTTGAGCAACAAGTTTGTTGTAGGATTTCCAGAGAGATGATTCCAGTTTCTATAACCCATTGCAATCACTGTGCGTTCTTGCTTTGTCAATGCCTTCTAATCTCCTCAAAGTCTCTCTTTTTTTCTTCGGTATACTCCCAAGATTTTGATCATTCCAGGCGAGAGCAGAGATAGCAAAATTCGTGGACCCTTCCTGCCATGTAGAATTTTCCCAAGACTGAGCGACAAGTTGGGAAAAGCTTTCTTCCATAGCCCAGGCAGCATTATATTTGAAGTGTTTGACTTTTATGTGGGAGGGGTTTGCAACAGTGTCAGCCAAGAGAGTGACTCTGTGGTCAGATTTGAAACGGAGTAAATGGAATATCTTGGTGGTTGGATTTGTGTCAGCCCAATGAGAGTTGCAGAAGGTCCAATCTAACCTTTCCTTAATTGCTCCTCTTTCCCAGGTGAATATATCCCCTACGACCGGGACTTCTTGAAGACCACAGGAGTTAATACAATTGTTGAAGTCATGGATGGAATTCCAATTTATGTTTCCTCCTCCAGTCTTGTTGTGAGGAGAAAGGTAAGCATTGAAATCCCCTAGGAGAATCTAAGGTTCATTGACAACACCAGCCAGAGAAGAAATAGAATCCCAAAGACCTTTTCGTTTCAGTGGAGTAGTTTCGCCATACACAAAAGACACGAGCGAGGAGTTCTGAGAATTAGAATAAAAAATACTGCAGTGTAGAATCTGAGTGTTAGAGGATAAGTACTGAACTTTGATTTTGGCATCGTTCCACAAGCACCAGATGCCCCCAGCAAAGCCTGAGGCTTCTATACGAATCCAGTGAGAGAAACCCAGTTTGCGCATTACTGTGTCTGCTCTATTACCACTGATACGTGGTTCAATCAGGCAGAAAACATCAATATGATGCTTGTTGACAATTTCTTTAAGGATACGGGAGAAACCTCTTCCTCCAGCACCTCTACAATTCCAGCTAGCTATAATCATAAAAGACTGAGAACGAGGCCAAACAGGGAACAAGTTACCTTGTGTCCTTCTCGGCGTTGCCTTGTTTTTCCTGGGAAGATTCATCCGAGCCATCATGATCCATGGAAGAGGAGTCTCCCTCGCTATTGTGAGATTTAGAGGGCACTGAGTTGCAGTTGGGCGGTTTGGGGGGGTGACTCTTGTTTGAAATCTGGTCTGACCCATTCACTTGCACCGGGCCTGCTTTCTGAATTGAGTCTTTGCTGGATATTAATTTTGGGGAGGGGCCTGTTGAGGGGGTGTTTGAGGTGGTGCTGGGTTTTGGTTTTGGGCTGGCTATGGGGGGCCCAATCTGAGTAATATTTCCTTCAACCACGACATGGTTTCGTTGTCTGGCCATTTTTGGACTGTTCAGTGTGCTATTTGGGGTAGGCCCAATATCATTTCTTTCAACACTTTTTGAAGACGAGCTGTCCTGTGCATTACTAGCATCTGGTATCTTATTTTCCTTGCCCGTTGGCCTATTATGAGACTTGGGATTGCCCTGGCTTCTTGATTTGACAATTTCCTGTGACATTTGTCCGGACCTCGGGGATGATGGTAGCTTACCTGTGTTCTTCACATAAGAGGAAGGATTTTCCTGCAGTATCATGCTATCAGAGGCCCTTTCAGTGTTAGGGTGGTCAAAGGGTGGTGCTATTGGGTCTTCTTCCAGATCAGCTAAAGCTGCAAATCGTGAAAAAGTTTTGGGTTTGTCACTTTTCCTATTTGACCTTGAGCTACTCCCTTGTTCAGACTGTGATAGGCTGCGTTTGTCAGTTCTTGGGGGTCGAGATTTTCTCGGTTTGCCGGACAGCATCCATTCCCCAAATTTATCCTCTCCGGTTGCCGGAGTTTTCAGTGTCGGGGTGGGAGGAGTTGATGGTTCTCCGTTTCTTTCGTCTTGTTCATGGTTACATGGTGACTGGGTGGCATTATTCCACGGGCATTGATCTTTTCGATGACCATAACGTCCGCAGTAAAAACAGATAAGATCGATTCCCATGTACTCCACGTTGAAGATCGAATTGCCAAAGATAACTCTGGGGACCAGCTTCTGCTGTAAGTCAAGTTCAACACAGACTTTTGCGTATCTTCCTCTTTCTAGCTCACTGTCAGCTCGTGCAACTTCTTGAACTGTGTTCATATCTACTCGAACTGTCCTGCCTATTCGGTCGCCTAATCTGTGAAGGAAGTGTTTGTTGTATCCATGCATCAGAATGTTCGGGATACGAACCCAAAGAATCATTCGCCTGAGAGAGTTATTCATGGGGTCAAAGTGGGGCGTCCAGCGTTGAATGGCAACGCAATGCTATTGCACTAGCCAGGGGCCTTCGAATAAGACCTTCTTGTAATGTTCTCTCCAGTGCTGTTGGTCTGTGAAGCGTACTATGAAGTAGTTGTTTGGGAGGTCTACGATGTTGAACTCAGCAAAGCCCCAAATCTTTTTGAGCCAGTTCTTAAGATGGCGAGATATCATTCTTTTGCCTAGGACAGTCAAGACGAGGGCATTGTTCCAAGGACGGCACCACTCTTGATACTCCTCGTAAGTGCACGGAATGGATGGGTAAATCTCCATGAGTTTTTTGATCTCCTCTGTGGGTTCGGGTAAATCCCAAGCAAAGTCATCATCATGGAATAAAACATCATCTTCGGCCATGATTGTGCCACCGTTAGCCACCCCATTAAAGCCGATAAGGGAGGCTTTGTAAGACATAGGTTTTTTTGGCTCCGCAGGCTGTTTTTGTGGGGTTGAAACATCGTCATGTTCCATTGTTGTTTCCTGCGACTCAGTGGACGGCGAAGCAACTTCGTAAGTGGGGGCTTCTAACATTAGACTATCAGGGGTATGGGAAGGCTCCTTATTAGAAGCGTTATTCCCCTTCTTGTTTTTCTTCCCACCCTCTTTAGCCAGGTCGTCGGTGGGTCGGTCAGGTGGTTGCTTGCGCAGGCCGTTGCTGTCGATCTCCATTGATGAAAACCTCTTGCACGTTATCCAAGAGAGAGCGCACCTAGAAACAAACCAGAGAGCTCTAAACCCCACGATCAGGAGTCGTAATACTGCTACTCATGGGCCCATTTTCTACGCCCATGTGGTGAGCATACATTTTAAATTAATCAGCTTAATTTGTTATTTTAAAGGTTAATTTATTTTAGATTTTAATTTAAATCACTGCTTGTCACCATTTTTAAGTTAGTGGCCAGAGTTGAAAATTACAGTTATGAAATTTTTAATTTAATTCTTACGCAATATATAATAAGTGTCTCCTCAATCATGTGCCTTTCTTTCTTTTTTTTTTTTTGGGGTTCATCTCTTCGCGGTACGTTCGAACGGCCGACTAGTCCCCTCTTGAGCTGGATTCAGCCACTTTTATTGGGCCTAGCAAGTCCCTGCACCACCCCAGTGTTTTCATTTTTTGTTTTTGACAAATGCACTAGCACCACCCTAGTTGAATTACGCCTAAATGTATACAGATGAAACCAAAAAAGAGATAAATAAAAAATGATGGCTTTTATTTTATTTGAGAATATATTGATGGAATGTGGGTTCAGAGATAATTAGATAGAAATGAAAAAATACCAGCGTAAAATTTACTAGTGAAATTATTTTGTCTGTTAGAAAATAAATACATGAGTGAGAAAAGCATACCAGATTATGATATCAAATAACTGAATCACATGCTGATTCAATAAAAATATTATTATGATTTAAACATATTAAATTAAATCATATATGTAATATCTAAATTATTTGAATAATATAAACTAAATTATTTATTTAGTTTATATTATAGTATTTAGTAGAGAATATCCTATATTAAATGTTACGGCCAGTTAAAGGCAGGTCCGAAATTAGCATGTCCAAATCCAACCTGACGGGACTTAACCCATACAGGCTTATAGAGCAAACAAACAAACTAGCAAATTTTTCCTTCCTGCTGAATTGAAATCATCTCAGAAAGTGATACACTGCCAACCCATTTTTTGCCTTACATTTCAACTCCGAAGCGATCAAACTCATCATTATTCATACCCCACACTCACTTAATTGACCCCCGTCTCAGCAATAAAGCATCGCATTACCTTAAAGTAAAAAACCTGCTACGTATTAAGCCAAAATTTCCCAAAGATATGTTCAAATTCTTAAAAGATATCATCACGGAATGTGGCTTCAGCTTCAGGCATGCCTGCTTTGGAAATCCTTCATGAAAGCCACCAGCGTCTCAACCCCGGCCAAAGGCATTGCATTGTATATAGAAGCTCGCATCCCACCCACCGACCTATGTCCCTTGAGCTGAACCATCTTCTCTTTGGCTGCTTCCTTGATGAACTCGCCTTCTAACTCTGATTTCTCCAGCGTAAACGGGACATTCATCAATGACCTCACGGACTTCTCCACTGGGCATCTGTAAAACCCATTGCTTTCGTCAATGGCATTGTACAGAATCTCAGCCTTCTTCTTGTTCTTCTTCTCAACCTCTTTCAAACCGCCCTGCTCCAACAGATCCTCAAATACCAAACCACACATGTAAATTCCATAACAGGGTGGAGTGTTGTACAGTGAGTTATTCTCAGCTTGTGTCTTGTAATCAAGCATCACCGGAGTGATATCCTGAGCATTTCCGATCAAATCTTTCCTGACGATCACAATCGTCACCCCGGATGGCCCTACGTTTTTCTGAGCCCCGGCATAAATCACACCAAATCGAGAAACATCCACAGGTTTTGAACAGAAATTTGAAGACATATCAGCGACCAAAATACCATTTGGATTCTTTGGGGTTGGATAATCCTTGAACTCAACACCATGAATTGTCTCGTTTGCACATATATGCAAATAACTTGCGTGCGGGTTCTGAAGTTGATCTAATTCGCTGAAACTTGGAATTTTGGTGTACTTCTCGGACTTACCAGACCAGATTACATTGGGTTTACAGAATTTCTGAGCCTCCTTGAACGCCTTGTCTCCCCACGATCCAGTTACCACGTAATCAACCTGATCATCTGGCTTGCAGAGGTTCAACGGCACGGCGGCAAATTGTGTGGTGGCGCCGCCCTGCAAGAACAGAACATGATATTCCGGCGGAATATCCAAAAGGGCGCGCAGATCTGATTCTGCCTTCTGGATTATGGAGAGGAAATCCTTACCCCTATGGCTCATTTCCATCACGCTCATGCCGGAATCGCGCCAAATGTAGAGCTCCGACTCCGCCTTCTTGAGCACGGTCTCCGGCAAGGTGGCGGGTCCGGCGGCGAAGTTAAAGACACGATCTTGGGATGAGGCATGAGCTGGCGGACGGTCGTTGGTTTGGGTGGTGGTCGGCACGGCAGCGCATTTGATAGAGATGGGTCTGACGGAGGCGGCGGTGGCGGGGCGTATAGAGGTGACGACGGAATGATTGTTGTGGGTGGCGAAGGTGCTAACGTGATGATTAGGATTCTGAAGAAGATGAGTGCGAGAGAGAGCAGCCATCGACATGGTGACTTGAACTGAGAATGAACGGAGGGGCAAATCGAGATAAAAATTTCAGAGAACTTTATTAACGAATGAGAGACGCTGGGGCGAAGATCTGAATCAGAGGAGGGGCATATTTATATATGTGAGCGTGAGTCTGAATCTGTGCGCCTCAGGCGTGACCTAATGGTATGACTGGAAGAGACACTCATTGTTCTTGGTAGGTGGCAATAAATGGAGGGGTATTAGGAATATATGAACCTTTTTTTTTTTTTTACCAGCAGGAATATATGAACTATTATTATTATATATAAATAAATCTATATGTTAAGTTCTATATATGTATGCCTATGACAGCCTATAATATAGTTTAAATAAATTTTATTAAGGTATTGAGGTCATTTTAACAAGTATTATTTATTTTTGAATTTCATATAAGCCTTCTGACCATGCAATGTCACCATCAATAGGACCATTGAAACTGGCAAATCATGGGGTTGGTGGAAGAGCGTTTGCGGGGCAAAGGCAAGTAGGTAACTAACAAAAAAAAAAAGAAAAAGAGAGGAACATATTTATTATATTATTTTGTTTACATATTAGGAATTGACAATATTCATTTATTTTGGATCAAATGTTAAAATCCAAATATATAATATAAACGTTTCTTTGTAACTCATACTTTTATTTAGACATTGATGTTAAGTTTATATAAATATCAATAATTTTGAAAAGTAAATATTTTTTAAAAATTCAACCAAACGCTAGTCAAATCACATAAGGTCTTAAAAAAATTCATTCAACCGCAAAATCTAATCTTTACCCCCTCCTTTTCCTCTTATAAAAATTATCCAAGATAGTATTCACCATTGTAATTTTGATTTCAAATTTTAAATTGTTAAGTGACGATCATTGGCAAACCAAACATGGCCCAAATTAGCTTCAATCTTTCTGGCTCTTTGTTTAACAATGTTCCACACAACTAACAAGAATTGATCAAATTGTTAAAGAGTCTACTTATAACCCATAGGTTACGTTTGGTAGGAAGTATTGAAAATGATGGATTGAGATTGCAATTACAATTGAAAAAATCTATTAAAAAAGTGTTTAGTATAAAATATTGCTTGTTACGTGGGATTAGCCAAACTCATATATGTGGGATTGGAAAATACTATGCGGGGAAGTAGTATTCCTTAATCCCACCTCTATAGATTTGCTTAATTCCATATAATAAGCAATTATTCATGCTAAATAATATTTTAATAATTTTTTTCAATTGCAATCCAATCGCAATTCCTTATTTTCAATGCTTCATACTAAATGGGACCATAAGATTATGAGTTTGAATTTCACTGTCGATATGAGAATCTTATTGATGGGCGATCTGTAAGTATTTCTGTAAGTGCTCTCTGAGTTTGGAAACATATCCTGGTCTAATGATCTTCTAGTACCCAACTCACCTAAACTTTTTTTTAATAATAATTAAAACAAAAAAACAAAAAACAACGGTGGGCGCAGCACATGGGTCAAGCACAAACGACCCGCCGTTCTGAAATTGCTTTCTATTCGTTGCTTAGCCTAAGAAGCCAAATCCCACTTCTCATTGTATTGCCTTGAAAAAAAGAATCAGAGAGGATGAACTATATGATTACAACTATATGATCTTTTGTAATCGTTTTTGTCACTTCTTTAATTTTATTATTATTATTTTTTTAAGATAAGGGGGTAGGTGGGTATTAGTTTAAGTTGATATGATTACTCTTGTTACTTGGAGCACACGGGAAGAGGGCTTCCATTGAAGATAGATTATCAATCACTCAATTTGTTTTACTGTCATAAGAATTTCTTTTTTTAAAAAAAAAAAGTCATAACCTCGTGGGGAAGTAAAACAAGCTGCGTATTCTTATTAAGATCTAATCTTAGAGTATGTAATAAGTGTGTGTTGTCACTTATAATAATAATAATAATAATAATGATAATATAGACCCATGGAGCCATGCTTATTTTATTATTGCATAGAATCTCAGAATTGTTGATGCATTGATTACCTGCAATCTGACAAGATATGCTTTATCTAAAATTTTTACAAGTGGAAATTAAAATGGAATTGATTAAGCAATTAATATAACGAAGAATGATTATAGATCCATTCAAATGCCAAAATCAGTAACTCTCACTGCATGATTGTCGTATCTTTATATGTTCTATTATTGTCAATCAAATTAGAGTGGTTGGAAAAATTTAAAAACAATCAAATATAAAGAGATCAAAATCCGGCTACAAAAAGTGGTAAGATTACAAAATTCAAGAGAATCAATCTAAAGCATGTAAAACTAGTTGAACAAATGAGATTGTTCTATCATTTTCATTATTTTATTCAACGAGAACAAGGGAAACACAGTCTTCAAATGAGAAGGTATGTTGAATTAGATAAGAAATGAAAAGAAAATACAGAGGACCACCAAGGCAACCCAAGTTGCTGTTATGCCTGCATTTTTAACCCAGTCTCATTTGGATCTTCTTAATTCCTCTTTGAAATTGACATGTCAGAAAGAAACAGACATTGTCAATTTTGAAGAAATTGAGACAATCCATTTGCTTATACCAATTATAAGAGTCATGTGTTTTTTGTTAGTTCCTCTATACATGGCCTTGCTATAATTGGTTCGCCACAAGAAAACTTGCTGGTTCACATTTTGAAGTATAGTTGAGTTTAGATGTACAATACTTCCTATGTACAGCAGTTAGTTTTCCCTTTTCAGCCCTTTGGTGCAAATCAACCATCAATTTAGAGCATTCCCTGCAAGTTATGTTTCATATTTTAGGGTAGAATTAGAATTAGATATAGTAAAGGTTAATTTAACCCAAAAGCTTAAGTAGTTAAGTTAGCACAACTTTTTACTCACAATAGCTGATCTTCTGAGTAGTTTGTGTGCCATTCGCATGTCTTGTTCCATTGCTGGAAACCATAGATGGTGCATTGAGCTGTAAAAATTGCAGCTGCAGCTAGCAAAGATGGTGGGAACTTCAACATCCCATACTCCACAAGAGATATCTCTATTAAGAAGAAAGCTAGCAACTCCATCTGCTCCACATGAAAAATGCAACCAAAAAATTTAGTGCACTTTATTTACGAGTTAGTATAAAAGTTAATTAGAATAATGAGATTTATGTTTAGATAATTTTTTATAAAAAAGTTGTTTTAACATAAACTTGTTTGGATGATATACTAAAAAGTCAGTTTTAGATGGTTTAAATCTGAAAAAAAATCAGAAGAAGTTGCCTCAACTTTAAAGTAACTTTTGAACAAAAAATCAGTTGTCTCCAAAGTTATGCTAAACACCATTTTAGATCAAAATTGGCATTTTACAGTTGAAAAATCGATGTCAAACACTACCAAAGTCTAATATCCCAGTAATTTCCCACTCATGTGAATCCAACATTGACCTTCTACTATAATTAGATGCCTAACATCTCAATAATCTACCCCTCAAGTGTGAATTGTACCTTTGACCCTATGTTATAACTAGATGCCTACATTTCAATGCACAATTTCCTCCTCAAGCATGAGTCTAACGTCAAACCCCTATTATAATTAGAAGTCTAACTTTCTAACAATCTCTTCATTAAGTGTGAGTCTAATGTCAATCCCTGGTGTAACTAGAGGCGAGACATCTCAACAGTACAATCTCTCCTTCGAGTATAAGTCCAACGTCAACCCTCTTAAAACCAGAAGTTTGACGTCCTAATAATCTCCTATTTAAATATGAGACAAATAATGTTGACCCCCTGCTATAACCAAAGATCTGACATCCCAATAATCTCTCCCTCAAAGTGACTCATATGCCTTTTTTAAAAGTCCCATAAAATAATAGGCCAGACTTTTTTTGGCTTCAACAAGTATAATTTTAAAAAACCTCACATCGACAAAGTGTTGGTTAAATTTTATTAGGAAAAAAAAAAATGGTGTACTAACTTTTTTATCTGCTTGAGCAGCCTTTAGAAACCGTCTCATAAACACATATGGTGTGGGCACAGTCATGTTAAACTGCAATGTGCTAAGCATCAACTTCTCCTGCATTGTTAGGGAAAGGACAACCTTATTAGCTTCTTATGGTTCAACAAAAGAAAAGTAGTCAATCATAATTTCTTTGCCAAAAGAAATATTACCATTTCAAGAATTTCTTTCCTTGTATATGCTTTGTCTGATATAAGTATCAGATCCTCCACCACAGGAACCGAAACTTCCTCATACTTGCATGCCAAAAGCATGGCCACTAAACCCACCAATTGAAGCCTCTTCCTTACCACTGATTGCTTCTCCAAAAACCTATCTATTAGGTTCACTGTAAGAAACAAAGTCTCACGCATAAGATCAAACTTGTCTTGCACCTGAAGGTTCAATACCAAACAAGCATACATGAGTATTTAATTTAATGTCAAATACATTCCAACCAAAAAACCAAACAACTACTATTATTAGTAAATGAGGAATATCTAATTTATATACCTCAATGAGCCAGTCAATCAGTATAGCCCTCATCCTTTCATTAATGTCAACTTGTTGTGACATATAATGTGGTGAGACGCAGCTACTAATCTGCATGTAGCTTCATTGTGTTAGTTGTCAGAAACAAAAACTATATTTTGACATAGATCATCATCATATATCAGTAATCAATAAAATTTACAGCAAGTCTCATATAAGTACTCAAGTGAGTTATTTCGCAAACTCTATTTACAAGGGCCCGCTGATATTTTCATGCAAAGTCTCATTCATAATTTGTATTTAATGCTTGCGACTTGCAGACCCGAGGTAGGAAAAGGATAATTAAAGCCATGCAGATCCGATAGAAATACTTTGAAATAATATATATAACCAGATCCAACGGCATTTAGGGGGTCTCTTTATGATTGCCTTTAAGTACTTAATAAGAATATTAAGAATTTCTCATACATCCTTGAAAAGTATTGCTTTAAATACCTCCATTTTTCTGTAGTAAGAATAAAGTTCTTGAACATAGTCTACAGCTGCAAGATGATTGCTCACGTCACTGCAATCAATGTCCATGATAGGATCTTCAACTATATCCTCCATCTCAACTTCCTTCTAGCATGTTCGAGAACAATAGTTAATTGATAAGTACTGCACCAAACTTGAAGGAAAACAAAGTGAGAAAGACATATATATGTACCATCTGATCTGTTTCAGTCTGCATTTCTTCTTCTGATTGTTCTAAAGACATGGGTACCGGCTGGTCCTTCACTGACTTGTGTTCTTCATCCAAAAATATGCATTCTCCAAATCCATTTGAATTTAAACTTGATGCATTATTCGACTTCTTATCTTCCTGTTCAAATTCAACACTCAGCAGTACTCGGAAATAACTATCGTTATCATTGCGAATTCTATAGCGACAAACCAGGCTCATAAGCCGTTAATTTCTCGGAGGAGGAGAGAGAGGGTACCTCGGCGAGTGGCCGCTTTGTGGGAGCAATTTGTGCTGCATATTTCCTGAAATGTTTCCGTAATCGTTACTAAGAATAATTGATGATTAATGTTTGTTCTTAAATTCAAATCCTTTCATCTTAGAAGCACCGTACATACGGCGGCATGTAACATCATTAAGTTAAAACCATACTTCTTTATTTGAAACTAAACACTCAGATACTTTATAAGAAGATTTACATTTCCCTGATTGACTCATACATTTCCCTGATTGACTCATAGGTGCAACGTAACCTTCAAATTTCGAAAAATTTGAACCTTTTTGTCGAGTCATTGACCTCAAATGACCCTTGTATCCTTCTAGTACATGTGACTAAAGAAAACTTTCCCGTCCTCCCTGAATATATGCTCGTGACTGGGCCCCACCAAAGTTCTTTTTTTCCTTCCCTCTTTTTCTTCCTCCTCCTCCAGACTCCATTGATGAGAGAACACAGTTGTTTTTCCCCCCTTCCTCGTCACTTCGAAATGCAACACCATGATAAGCTACAGTACATGTTTTCAACCTCTCATTCAATCAATAATGTGCCCCCTCATGCCTCTCCTCTTTCAGTATGATGAGTTTCTTGGATCCTCATTTTCTTACACTTCTGTCTCAGTTTCTCTCTCGCTCCTCCAATCTATCTACCAGATGCTATAGTACTCATTTAGGTTTCAGTATTTGACAAATCTGAGGGTATGAGTAAAAGAGAGACTCTGAGAGAGAGAGAGAGAGAGAGAGAGCAGCATGGTCACCTGGTAATTGGTCGATGCACTGGATTGGCAATCTTCTTGTTGTGTCCACACTCCACGACCAGGTTCTGATTGATGACGCTCAGTGCCCTTCTATTCTCTCCGACCACTCCTCCTGTAAGAATAATCTCAAACACGTCACCATAATCTTCAAGCTTTCCGGCTACATTATTGATTAAAACCCAGAAGAAAACTTTACCTTGCAGGCTTGTGGGTTTGATGGAGTTCACATTGTTCTCACGAGAAATCACCATCTTTTTTGTTGTTGTTGATAATCTCAGAAACCCGGGGCAACCCTAGAAGATAGAACTGAACTCTCCGACACCTCACTGGGGATTGAGACAATGCAAGACCAATGTAGAGAGTATTATGGGGTAAATATTTGTCTGGGGGACGCGTCGTTTTTTTCTTTTTTCAAAAAAAATCTCAACGGCTAGTGATTTAGTGACCGTTGGATGGGTGAGAGAGACAGGGAAAGACACGCTGTTTCTTTCTTTCTACGATTGTCTTAACGGTAATGTGCAGAGACAGGCTGCACGTCGGATTTCAAAATGAGGTTTCATTGTTTTGTTTTTATGTTAAAGACTTTAGGTCCAATCATTGGCCTTTGCGCTCTTCCGCACTACTGTTGTTTGGGCTTTATTCCTTTTTTTATGCTTTTTTTTAAAAATTAATCTCTTGGTTGGTTCCTTTACAACACAATTAACATTTAATAAATCCCGGGATGCAATGCTTATTATAATAATCTAATTTAGCAGCTAATTGTGGGCACCACATCCAAAACCCAATTAAAATATGTTAAGTTGACTCGTCAGAGATTAGGATATGTATCTAGGTTATTAAGAAGTAAATTAATTATATTAGGATTTTTTTTTTTTTTAAATTTTCTTTTTCTTATTTATACTAATGATTTTATTTCTGAAATTTGAATAGTCCAAGTTTAATTTTTTTTATTACAATACCCTTCATTATTCTTTTTGATAATCAATACCCTCATTATTATCAATATATTTTTCAACCCAAGTTCTCTCTCTCTCTAAAAAAAAACTCAGTTCAATAAAAGATTAGTCTTTTTCTAGCCAAAATAAAAAAGCATCCAATTTTTGTTTTTCGTTTTTGTTGAGGATTCACAGAAGTTCTCTTTAAAATTAACATGTGCGAGAATTGGGTTGTGTTTTTTTTTTTTCTTTTCTCCTTTTCTTGGTTCAAAGAGTCGTTACCATTGCTATCATCCAAGAAAATAAATATCTCTAATTCACACACACAAGGAAGTTTTTTTTCCTGGTAAGCTTTTTTATGGAACTTAATTCACTTAAGAAATCTGAAATTGAACCAATGAATAAGAATATACAAAAATGCAGAGGAAAGGCAAGAAACCAAAAAAATGAGAAAATTTATTATGTGGTATCTTGATCATAGTTACGATGCTATTTTCCTTTATGGATGTTTCCTTTTATCAAAAGACATCCTAACAAAAATTTCCTTTCAATAAAAGCGTATTTTTAAAAACAAAGAAATTATGTAGTTCAAAACAATTAGAGAATTTTTTTTCCTTTTTCAAACAAAAAAGTGTGTGGTAATGATAGTGCAAATCTAAAACTCTATCGAAATATAAATTCATAAATTAAAGAAACTTGAGAGTTTCTTTAATTGTTTTAGCATAAATGGGAGAGTATTTTTTTTTTTTTTGGTAAAATAATGTGCGAGTATTTATTATCGAATCATTGCAGTTTAGAAATTGCTCCCCAGAATAGAAGCTCCTTCATAAATAGTCCGGACTCACATTTCTCTGAAACCGTGTCTTTTCCCGACAAATAACTTAATGGCATTGAATACTTTTGTCAGACTTAATGACATTTTATTAAATTGAATGAAACTTTTGCTGCAATTGAAGTGACACTGTTACCTTTTAACTGTGAGTTGTAACAATTTCTCATATATTTAAAAAGTCATTAAATATATAAAAAAAATTTATTTTTATTCTTATTAAATATTCTTTCCTATTTAAAATATAAGTTAAATTTTATCTATTATGTTTATAAAAAAAATAATTAAAATAAATTTAAAACAATAAATATGTAAGGCATATATTTGTTTTTTCCTAATGTACCCTTATTAATGAAGAGAATAAGTAAAAGATGTAATAAATAAATTAAAGAGAAAAGAGAATATATAAAGGTAAAATTAGAAAAAATTTATTAAATATTTGGACAAAAATAAATATTATCTTATAAAAAAAACCAACCCTTGTAAAAAAGTTTAGTTTGTATTTTAAATCGGAGTAATTAGTATATTTTTTCTCATCAACTACCTCCTCCACCTTTATATTTGTCTCCCTTAATTAATAAGGACAGAATTGAAAATAAAACATTAAAAAAATACAAATAACAAATAAAAGGAACCAAAGTGGTAGACGACTATGCTCTTAGAAACACATTCCACCTCTTCCCATTACTCGCGGCACGGTGTAAAGAGACGCGCCAAATATAAAACAATAATCTAAAATTGAGATACACATTAACTCCTTATAATGAGAATTGTTAACTACCTTTCTTATCTGATTTATAAATTATTTTCAACATATTTTATATAAATCAATAAAAATTTTAAACTTCATTAACTCTATATTAAAATTTGATAACTTTTTAACTTTATCCTTATTTAATATATACTTTACTCTATCAAAACAAAATCGACATAATAATAAATTAATGATAAAATTATACATTTATATGAAAAAATTTACTTTTTGCCTTATAAATAGGAATGAAAATTTCTCTCTCTCTTTGTCTTGTAAATAAAAGCAGAGGACTGGCAATGTCATCCACTAGGAGGAAACCGAAGGCATGACGTTAGAGATTTAGCTTGGGCTATTGAGACAAGCTACGGCTAATTTTGCTTGCTCTCAACTGGCCTCAAGCAAGCGTGGTCATTCTTTCTCCCTGAAAAACTCATCCTCTTTACTTTTAAGCTGTCACATATTCACTTATAATGTTGCATTTGTCAGCTACCATTCATGGATAGTACTCTGTGACTACAAACAAGCCTTCTTTCAACTTGCCTTCAAATGACTAGCACGGTCAAGACCCTTCTTGCAGGCAATATCGATATGCTCTTTATCAGTTCATCTGATGTTGATGCCAATTTTTCTCTCTTGGAACGAATTTGTGCATCACTTAAATAACGTAGACAACTTGGGAAGCCTTACGGCATTTTCTTCATCTTCGTGGATGTCAAACAGTTCATGCTTTTCTAAGCTCGTCCTCTGATCCGGAATACTTTCACTCTGAACCAATTTATGTTTCTTGATTTTCTTTTTCTCAGGTCTTGGACTAGATGATGATGATGAAGCTCGTCTTTTATCTCTTTTGGTCACCAGTTGAGAGTTTAGTGGATGTGGAAGATGCAAATGGCGTGTTTCATGGGAGTGCTCCTCAGTCTTGACTTCACATCTCATAGCCTCCAAAACCTCGTTTTCCCCAACAAGTCCGCCACTCATAGTTTCAAGAACAACTTTGCCAAAAACAAACCTTATCTCTGAAGGGTGACCTCTCCCAAGTAAATCATAGTTTATTTCAAAATCCCTTTTTTCACTCCTGTAAGAATCAACATTATGGATCAGCACTCTGAAGAGTCGTGCCACATCCTTTCCCGTTTTTGTTGATATAAATACCTAAGGAAAAACAAAATATTCAGTCCAATTGAACATCTGAACTATTAGCAACCTAGACGGACATGGGCATAAATGAAAGAGCCGCACAGGCAAAAGTTACCAGAAAGTAACACGCATCCAAGTAGACATAGATGTAGATGCAATGATTTACAGAGGAGCAGGAACTACCTTAACCTACGAGAATAAACTACTGTAGTCTACATGCAAAATAGTTGCCTCCGACTTCTGAAGGTTGCGACCTTCTAAAACCATACAATTTTCATATTATTGTTTCTTTAAAGGGCATCAGAGCAACTTCTCAAAACTCAAAACTGCGAACAAGGTCAGGAGTTCTGGACATTGCGACAATGAAGAATCACAAAAAGCCCTAATTATTGAATTTTTAAATAATCCAGACAAGTAAAATAGAACTTGATCATGTTGCATGTATTTAACAGTCAATCAAACATATGATCAGAGTTTGAGCAAAGACACAAACGTTAACATACTTACCAAACCAGAGCGTGAGGTAGATGGATATCTAGAGATAGATTGAACAAGAATATTCTCATTAACGAGCACGGCTATCGAATCCACCACCAAAGATGCCAATTGAGCAACCGCTCTAACAATTTCGCCATCAGATTCGTATACACAGGACTTTTTTATTTCAGGTGAGAAGCAAATATCCCTTCTTGCTTGTTCTTTTGCAAATTCAACACCTTTTTCCCAATCCCCATGATATAGAACAGAAGCAAGTGCCCACACCACAAGGGCATCTTGAGGGTTATTCACTAACGCCAGGTGAAACGCCAGTAATCCAACCCTGTACCATGTAACAACAGCATCTCAGAGGGAAACCCATGACTTTAATTTCAAAACAAATCAACATTAATCCAAGCCAAGTCTATTACAGCTACAACAGAAAAGTGTACTTCGAATAAATTAGATGCTTCCTCTCTACACTCTCTGTGAGGTTTAAGGGTTTTAGGTGGGGCATAGAGAGAATAGAGTTGTGATCTAATGTAAACAACGTTTCCTTTTTTCCTTTTCTTCAGGCCATGAGTAAATGACGTATCCAATTATGCTGACTACAGTAAAAGTAAGTCATCTAAGAATAGGGCAACCCTGAAAATAAAGCAGTTCCAAGGTCAAAAGTAATTTGTCCAGATCTGAAAAAATTTTGAATGGCTTTTAAAGAAACATCCCTTAGTCTTTGATACAAAAAATTTCTCTCTTCATCCTTCCTCAAATACTATGCGTCATTCCAATGGCACATTTGTCTGACATCCCCGGTTTAAAACTTTTGTTTCTTCAACCACATACAATCAGAAGGAACAAAACCTGCAGAATATTAAGCAAGGAAAAAGGAAACTACTCACCATATAGTGCAAACAGAAGGTCGATCACAAGCAACCAATTTATCCAAATGGAAGAATAATTTCTGCAAAATTGACTTATCAATTATGAAAGCAATAAAGACCAAAAAAGGGCTTTTTGAAGAAATCTAAAAGTAACTAAACTTAGAGGTTAAAGCATCAAGCATATGGCGTGATTTTGATTGGGAATATAAAAGAACTGCTTCAAGTTTTCATAAAATCAATGTCATGTTAATGTACTGATCCTAACATTTATTTAATCTTTCATCAAAATTACCTCTAGTTCTTAAAATCAAATCCATCAACAACCATGCTTGCAAGGGGGAAAGGAAAAAAAATATTCCTTCTTAACTATTCCCGTAATATTTAACATTTCTAAATGAATCTTGGTTACTCATCCCTGTGAATGATTCTAAGATTACTCAACTGAGTTCACAAATCCACAAAATCTCATTTTTAAAAGACAGCTGATTGAATATTCCAATTAGAATACAGCATCTTGTTTAACAAGTATTTTGTAAACTTAATTTACCACAAGCATACTGGAAGCTTGAGCATCTTGTTTGATAGCCTGTTGGTCTAAGTATGCTGCCTGTAAACAATCACGTAAGAATTTTATGACCCGTAGCCTGGATCAGAAAATAACTACACGACTACAAGTCAGTAAAACAACCACTTACATGCAAAGGAAGTAAAAAGTCAAGAAGTTTGAATTTCCAGAGCAAAAACAGGGATGGTTCGGCAGCTCCATAAGAAAGCATATAATTCAATTCCATCATTATTTTGGACTGAAATATATAAAAAACAGAAAAAGTAAGACGTGAGAACAATAACTACTACAACATCCAAAGACTGACATTAATGAGCTTCTTCTCTATTTTTCCTCTTTTCTGCAGTACACAATTTTAGCCTTTCCAAGTGTTGCAATTGCAATAAAAACGATAATAAAAATGTTTCTGAATAGCTCAAGAATGAAAATAGCACAGAAACATACCAGAAAGGCTATAAGACGCAATAGATATTTTTAAGCCAAACTTAGGCAGCATAACATCATGACTGTATTCCAATTAAAGTACCTTGTTTAAGCCCTTAACCAATAAAGAAAATGTCTGAATTCCAGCTGTAATGTCACTTGATAATGATAAACCTAGACGAGCTGCAATTCTCAAGGCGCGCAAAATTCTTCCTGCACAGAATTCCATAAGTAAGTTCATATTTATAGGGGGTGATGATCAGGTCGTAGTTTATAAGATGCTAATGATGCTACCTACCAGGATCTTCATTGAAAGATATTTGAGCAGGAATCATAGTTTGCAGCTGAGACCATATGAAAAGGCATTATTATATTCTAGTGTAATTCCAATCATGTTTGATCGTAATAAATATTCATTAGTGAATCAAATAGAGTTACCTTCATAGCCTTTAAGTCAGCCAATCCGTTGGCATAGTCATAGATTTTACCAGCAAAAGGATCATAGAATAAGCTGTTGCCGAAAATAGAAATAAATTTATAAGCCGTCTTACATATAAAACTAATCATTGAAGGTGAAATGTAATAGCAGTACTTGTTACTTCAACTTCCTATTTCAATGACATACGTCATAACCCAACCTAAAATGGGAGGAGACATTTTCAATGCTGAAACTAGTTATAAAAAGTTAAAAAAAAATATACAGAAACCCAGCAGTTTAAAAATATGAAATATACCTGTTAATTGTGAAGTCCCTTTGCAAGGTGTTTTTGAAGAGAACTAAGTCTTTTTCATTGCAGCCTTTTGGCACTAGGGAGGATAAAAGAATTTCTTTCTCTTCAGTATGTTTCTGTGCCACTGTCTCAAAACTGGATACCTGATCCAGTGTCCATTTAATCATTTCTTAGTTAATTAACTGAAATTACAGTAATTATTAAATAATTGTCAAACGACAATCACAACAAATCAATCACGTAAGTTGAAGATTTAATATATTACAGATGATTATAATCATGTCCGAAATGAATGAACAAACCTCTATGATGGAACCTTTGATGTGCACCATGCATATTGGAAAACGCCGTCCAATGACTCGAGACCGATGAAACTGCTTTTTTATCTGTAAGATTTTTTTCACCAAATTGCTTTTAAAGCTCATTATACATGCACGTTATAAAATTAATATAATTGAAAGCTTGAACATTTTTGTGCATTAATCTTTGGTAGGAGGCTCGTCCATATGAGAAGCCAAAAAGGCATTAAGAAAACTTGAGGGTGGGAGTTTTGTTAGGAACATTGCTGGTTTTATTGTAATGAAAGTTACTTATTGTTATCCTTACCCCAAAAAAAAAAAAAGTTACTTATTGCTATACTATAATCTGAACATAATTCTTGCAGACCATTTACGGAAGGATTGAAAGAAATTGCATTTACAGAAACAAGGCCTAAGAATGAAGGGTGCTTGGGTCAGAATTATTGGTGTCCAGGATATTGCCGTGTCAGGTAAATGGTTATAGAGTTTTCCTTTAGCGGTAGCTGCTTTATGACATAAGCTATTTGAAGAAAGTATGGCTTGATCTAAATGGGTGGGCTGCCAACACTAGAGTGAATGTAACTCATGCAAGTCCGGGCAAATTTGTTTCACAAAGATATGCACCTTCTATGATATCAGTTTGTAATACCATTTCATCTTGTGCAAATAAACAATTGGAATATTATTGAAAAACCTGTGTGAGCTTTGCTGTGGTGATGACATCAAAATCTTTCGGAATTCTATTCAGGAGTAAATCTCTCACACATCCACCCACTAAGTATGACTCAAATCCTGCAATTCAAGTAACAATACAAGTTTGTCACTATTAACCACAAAGGTATTTACACAACATAGTTTTGAAGAAGGGCAATTGTTATTTAAAACAGAACAGAATCAATCAAAGAATAAGTCAGATTGGATATCAATGTCATTTTCAATAAAGCATTTTCTATTGTGAGCAGCTGAGATCAACCAAGCACAATTCTTTTAAGAATAACATTTAAAGGAATATCCTATAACCTAATCATTCATCCTCGGAATGGTTTGGAAAGATTCTTGTAGAGACCATTATATACAGTCACTAAGACCAAACCAGTGAACAAAATCATTACTAGATAATGTGTCAAATATGCACAGAAAATATGTTACACATCCTCTAGTTTTATGTCTGGGATAATTAGATGGGCAAAATGCATTATAGGGTAAGACCTATACTTGAAGGGTCAATTTCATTAAGACGTACGCTAGAAGGGAAGGGAAAACAAGCCCGACACACCCAGGGAAATAACCTGGAGGCTGAGGGGCAGGATGGGAGAATTAAGGACCAAGCGGTGTGCCAAGGTGTCAAGGTATTAAGGAATAGGGAAGTGGGCAGGGCAGGGTACCCCAAAAGTGTGGAAGTGGAGACTGGAGAGATCTGGACTCTCGGAAGCCAGAGTGGGGAGGCACTCTTTTATTGTTTTTTCCTCTTTGATTTTATCTCAGTTTTGTTGCTGTTCAGCTCAACCATGATCAAATTTTCAATTAATACAGAACCATATTATCTGTTTGGCGCATTTGATGTTGACCCTGAGGTTGAGCTCAACGTAATTTAATAAAGGTATGCAACAGATATAATAGCATGGAAAAGAGTGCTCTTTTGTTATCATTGTCAACACTTTGCCCCGGCCGGGAGGGGGGTTGAAAGAATATGTTACAAGCTTGTGCATAAACCGACTTGCTAGCACAAACCGTTATGCGAAAACTCTTACCGCTGCGCTTAAGATGTTTCAGAACAGTCCAAGACGGGCATGAAATCATAGAATCAGTTACGCCAAGTCTGCTTGCATCCAACTTTTTCCACCGGGATTTGTCAGTGCTCCCTGAATCATTAACAAAAAGTGTAACTGATTTTTAATATGAATATGCAGACACAAGTATGCCATTAGTCACATTACAGGCAATCAAGTAGAACATAGCTGTATCTATGCACCCATAAATAACATAACGGCAGCTGCTTAGTAAGATGCCGGGTTTGTGAGATGAAGGCAGATAACGTGGAAAAACCATCCAACATGTGAGGGTGACAACAACCCTCACCCCTGTTTACAATAACGGAGGAAAATAAAATTCACAAGCAAAACAAACAGTTTGATAACCTAGAGGAGCTGAGTAGTTGGTCCTCATTTGTGTGGATAACTTATCTCTCACAGCTCCTTCGGCCTTATTAGAGCTAAACCTCTGCAAGTCAGGATTCAGAAGCGGAAAAGGGATGTCACATAGTGTCTGAGAAAATGACTTAACCCAAAAAACACGACATTGCAGAAGCGTTAACCTGCGAGATGATTGAGGATTTCAGACGAAGTAGGAAGCCACGCCTACTGTTGTTGATTCTGGTAAGAATCGTCATGACAACGTCAAAGTCTCCCGGCGCCGTAGGCGGCAGCTTTTTTCATTTTAGAGCGGCTAGTTTCTCTGGGGCGCACCCTCACAAGAGCCCAGTATTCGGGGTCCCGAGAACCAGCACGGAACCTCTCCATTCAGCGTCCAAATAAAACGCAGCGTTTAACAATTTTGGGAGTAATGCTGTCATGCTATTTTGCTGTTATAAGGGGAAAAATTTTTAAAACGCGGGAGAGGATTGCCGGTCACAAAATTTCCGCGCCGCGGCTTACAATTACAATGATACAGAGATGATTATACATGAAGGTAGTGTTTGGATAAAAACCAAACTATGATTTCAGAAGTGTTTTTACGGATTATGAAGTAAACATGTGAAGAAGATTACCTCGTTTTGCAGAAAAGTGCTTCTGAAACCATGGTTTTGGAACACCCAAACAGAGCCGAAGTTATTATTAATGATTTAATAATCTGGAAAATCTCCTCCTCCTATTTAAAATTGTGAAATTGTTTGTTGACACTGAGGGAATTTTGTCCAAGTCATGCTTATTATATTTATTTTAATTTTGATTCAAAACTTAATTTTTCATAGTAATTTACGCTGATTTTTTTTTCAATAATTTACGTGGCGTATGAAAATTGAAAACTGAAAAGAACTTTGTTTCAGCTTGGGTAGATGTACAAGTGATTTTAATTACTTCGCCTTCTAATTCTATGACCTCCATACCTAACTCACTTTGCTAAAAAAAATTTCCCAAAGAAAAATCCCTTTGGTAAATTTGTGGGAAATCAAAAAACGATCGGAATGGATTTGCATTTTAATTTTAATATTTTTTAAAACCAGTGGTTTTCAGCTCATCTTCTCCATCTTCGACTTCGAGTCTCTCTCCGATCACTCCAGCGTAGGGTCCCAAGTCCCTCCATTCTATTTGAGTTTCTACTTTTGGTTTCCTGCTCCAGAAGTACTCTAGGCGCCTCCCGTGTTCGGGACGGGAACACTATGGGACGTGACGGTGCCGTTGGTGATGCGACGGAATCGAAGGGCAATGACGAAGTGAACATCAACATTCGTTGCTCCAATGGCTCTCAATTTTTGGTTCAGACTAGTCTTGAATCCACTGTCAGATCATTCAAGGAAGTTATCGCTCAGAAATGCAGTATCTCCTCCGATCAACAGCGGCTGATTCATAAGGGTCGAGTCTTGAAGGACGATCAAACCCTGCAAAGCTACGGTATACCCGATCTTGTTAGACAAAACGGAGATGTTACAAGTTAATTGATATCTGGGTAGATATGGGCTGGACTTTGCTTTTATTTTAATCTTCTATGGATTCTTGGTCTTTGGCAACGATTTATTATAGATTCTAATGATTCTTTTATATAATTGAGGTTTTAATTTTAATGTAGACAGATTATTATAATATCAGTACCTGCTTGTCATGCCCAAGAAGAAAATGATTCCTAGTTGTGCTTCATTAGATTGTGGATGAATGCGTATGGTCTTTAATGATTGTCGGTTAAAGACGGAGAGTTAGAAATGAAAGGGAAGGGACCTTGTTTTTCACCCGAGAAAGGGTGCCTGCACTTGCGGAAGATTGTGAATGTAAAATTTGTAATGCCATGCTGCTATCTTGTTAGTATAAATATTATTTATTTCTTTATTCTTGTGATGTTTGAATTTTTAGAATTTTAAATTAAAGCTGAAATATTATTTATCCTTTATTTCCAATTCTCAGAATCGGACTGATCTCCTTTAAAACTAATTTTTGGCACTTCAGTGTTTAATATGCTTTCGGAAATTTTTATCTTGGAATATTCTCTATGAGATTCTTTAATCGTCCACTATTTTTGTCATGCAAACGATTTAGCCAGCTTGAACTTGTTTTTTCTCCTGTTGTCCGTGTCTGACGAACAAATTTAACTTGGTTTTCTATTTATGCCTGATAGGTTTGGAGGATAATCACATTGTTCATTTGATTCGTGGACTTGCACCTGCTGCACCAGCCAATACCACTGGTGGGACCAGTGGCACAGCAAATAGTACAAGAAGTCCCGGTGCTAATGAAGGTGGGGGTTTAGGAACGTCTGGTTTTGGAGCCTCATTGTTTCCTGGACTAGGTCTCAATGGGACCAGGGGCAGTGGCATGAATGGCTTGTTTGGTTCAGGCCTTTCTAACATTGAACAAATGCAACAGCCATTTATTTTAAATCCCAATTTGATGAGAAACCTAATAAACACACGTGCTATGCAGAGTCTGATCAATAATCCTGACACAGTGCGGAATCTTATAATGAGTAACCCACGGATGCGAGAGATCATGGATCGAAACCCTGAGCTAGTACATATACTTAATGATCCCAACACTCTCCGCCGGACTCTTGAAGCTGCAAGAAACCCTGAGATCATGCGTGAAATGATGAGAAATACAGACAGAGCAATAAGCAACATTGAATCTTCTCCTGAAGGATTTAACATGCTGAGGCGTATGTACGAAAATATTCAGGAACCATTATTAAATGCCACTGTGATGGCAGGTGCTGGAAATGACGGCTTTAACATGTTTGAAGCACTCGCTGGAACTCATGGTGGCCAAGCCAGCAATCGACCAACTAATTTCTCTAGTACTAGTTCTGAAGCGATTGCTGGTTCCCCCTCTCCCAATACTAGTCCACTTCCTAATCCTTGGACCTCTACCAGAGGTAAGTTTACTCGTCTTTTTACATCCTCTGAATAGGGGCTGAGTGTGTTTTATCGTCAATTGGTTCAGAATGGTTCCCCCTCGTTTTGAGCTCTGTCTGTCCTAAATCTGGTGGCTATATTTTTAGTTGCTTATGATTAATACAGTGCTAGTCGATAATTAATTATTGCAGCTGGAGGTACCCAAAATACCAGCACAAGGTCAACTAGTGGAGGGAATGTGCCAGAACCTGAAGGTTTGGCAGGTACCATACTGGATCCCACCTGTTCACCCAGTTAATGCAGAACCCAAATATTTCACGTATGATGCAAAGTATCCGTTCCAACCCACAGGCTGCGAATCAGGTATCTACTTCCCATTCTTGATACTAGACGAAATGTGCTTGTTTTGATCTAATCTCTCTGACATTCAGTTTACTTTTAGATTCTTGGTGTCAGTGCCGAGCAGCGTGGCATGCCTGATTTAACCTCTCATCTTAGACAAATGATGCAAAACCCAGAGTTCCTGCGCTTTGTGTCTTCACCAGAGATATTTCAGGTAGACGATTTTGAGTTTTGTAACTGTTACCAGTTGCTCTGTGCTCTCATCTTGGGAATATGGTTTTTTTCTCCTATGGTGATCTTATTATGTGGCCGATTATCAATGTCCAAATTAGCATATAGCAGGGTTATCTGTGCAAAGTACAAACATCTACTGACAATGTCAACTTTGAATGTCCTCTTTTATCAAATTATGGATAAAGTGATAATTACCACCCCCCCCAGGGGAGGTGTTTGTATTCTTTTATGTTTAATATGAAAGAAACGATCATGGTATCGAACTTCATTAAATTGGGAGCACAACAGGTCTAGCTAATCATTGGCTAATCTCTGTCCATTCACAGAAAAATGTGACTGTCATTTTGTGCGTTTTTCTATCTTGATGCTTTATTTCCCGTAGAAAATCTGATTCTCTGTGGAGCCTCTTCTTCACTGTTTAATGTTAATCTTCTCTCGCCTCTATCTATGCCACCCTGGCAGCATCTCTTGACTTTTCGGCAAGCGCTTTTGTCTCAGCGTGGTCAGCAACAATCAACGCAGTAAGTAATGACACAGTCCTGACTTTCATGTTCTGGCATGGCATTTTTTTGTCTCATTTTCTAAGATACAATAACTTCCGTCAATTATTGTAGACTTGATGAAAACCTTGATGTGGCAATTGCCCAATCCCATTAATGAATTTAGTTATTTGCTTTGCTCTGCCCTGGACCCGAGTCCATTGCAGCGAACTTCTTAGTCTAGATGCCTCATCTGACATTTTTTGAAGCATAGACGTAGTGTTGCACTGTTGGTTACCGTTATTTTCATGAACCATTCCACGAATGGGCCTCTATTGACAACCCAACCTTCAAAGAACCATACAGTTCTGTTCTGAACTCCACAGAACATGTTTGGTATTGATATAGGATTATCTTATGATACTCCAGTTGGTAGTGTACAGTATTTGTTTCTATCTTACATGATGGAATCCTATCATTAACTATTCTCATCTTTTTATTCCCACATTTTTCCTCTTTGCTTGTTTTTCAAGAAAGCATAATCAGTTGGACTTTTGGTGCTTATGGTTATCAGATCCTACACTTGAAAGTCAATATTTTGTATTTTTGTCCGAAATCCTTATTAAAATAAATTAATCGGATGTTGGCTGCCTTAAGTGTTTATGATTCTGTGGTTTTTTCCGGGTTAAATTCTTGTTTTTGTCCTGCTTGTCTCTGGCTTGATTTTCTATTGATATATTATACACTTCCAGGGAATCTGGTCAAGCGGGCAGAGGTACCGGTGTCCAAGGCACTCTGAATTCTTGTATGTTCATAGAAGCTATTTACTGTTTGTCTGCCTTAAATGTTTTGTTTGAATGACTTTGCCTTGTCGATTCAAATTACCTAATCAATTCCTCGGATCTTCCATCCATATTTATAATTCATAATTTTGTGAAATCAGTTGCATACATTACTCTGACATAACGGAGTTTCTTCTTTGTACGCTTTATGATGACGGCCAGATCATCTACAGTCCTTTTGTATTACCATTGAAACTTTGTATATATGGTTTACTGGGAGCTATCTTTGCTCAGATTTTGTTACGTAGTTGATGAATGATAGAGCTATATGCTGAATGTTCTTGTTCTTTAAAGGCATGTGGCTTGGGGAAGGGATCTGCCTAATTTTTTTTCTAACGAGATTTATTATGTTCAAAGAAGAATACTGAAGCACCACAGTACACCTTTTAGCCTTTCTAATTAAAATAATACTCATATGATGCAACTTGCAAGTACTATTTAATTTCTAGCAGAAAGCATAAGAATTTCTTCCTAATTTCTATCCAAATATTTTTATCAGCAGCAGGGGAAATGAGCAGCGTGCTTTGGGATATGCTGTCAAATGTGTTTGGTGGA